GGAGGCAGCGGGGGGGGGGGGGGGGGGGTTCGGCCGCTCCCGGTTAGGGCGGAGGCAGCGGGGGGGCGTCCCCGGTGCGGCGGGGCGGAGGGGGGGGATTCGAGCCCCGCACCACGGGCTTCGCCCTGAGCGGGGCGCGGGGCGTGGCGGGGGCTCCCCTCCCCACGGTGCCCCGCAGTCCCGCGGGGTGTCCTGCACCCCAACCCCGGGGGGGGCGGATCCTGCCCCCGGTCCGGAGTCGCCGCCGGGGCGCGGGATGCGGTCCGAGCCGGACTCCGGCGCGTCCCCCCCTGTGCGATGCGGGGAAACTGAGGCAGGGGCGGGCGGGCGCCACGGCCAAGGTCACCCCGGGACCGCGACCTTCAGCCGTGACCCCCCCGCCGGGGGCTGCAACCGGCACCGACACCGGGAGCAGCACCGGGAGGCCGGGCTGCGCCTCACCCCGCTTGACCCCCGACGGCACCGGGGACCCCCGCTGCTCCGCTGGAGCGCGAGAGGGGCCGGGGCCGCCGTGGGGCGCGGGCAAACCCCGGTGGAACCGGTTTGGGGGGGCTCCCCCGCCCGGGGGTCTTGGCGCATGGTGGGGGCGCGGCGCGTCYCCCCCTCCCCACGGCAGTGCCGTGCGGCTGCGGGTGCCCCCCGCAATGGTGCAGACCCCGCGGGCCGGCGGAGSGGGATCCTCGCTGGGGGCTCCCCCCGGCACCCCGCACCCTCCCGCGGCCGTGACCTTCGCGGGGCCGCGGCGTGGTCGCTCCTCGGGCGGGTTCCCRGCGCGGGGAGCGCGGGCCGTACACGCCCGGTGTCCCGCACCCTGCGGAGCAGGGACGGGGGGGGCTTCGGGCGCACCCCCGGACCCCTCCTGACAGGCGGCGGCTGCAGGAAGCGGGACCCCCCGGCTCCGCTCCTCACCCCGCGAGCGCACTCCCGGGTCAGTGGAGACCGAAACAGCGGCGGGGCCGCCCCGGGGGTCCCATCCCGCGGACCCCCGGCCCCGCCGGACCCCGCGCAGCCGCCGGTGCGTGGGGGCGGGGCCGGACGCCTGTGTCCCCCTTGGACTGGGGGGGAGAGGAGGAGGAGGAGGGGATGCGGTGTAGGCGAAGGCGGGCGCGGGCTGCGCTCCCAGGGCCCCGCTCGGGCTGGGTGCGGGTGGGGGGCTCAGCGGGGTCGGGTCTCCCGGGGCGGTGCCGTTCGGGATGACCCCAGCGCTGCAGACCCTCGGGTGACTGCGGGAACACTGCGAGGACTGTCMCCCGTGTCTCCTTCTCGGGGAGGACAGGCTCCCCCGGGTGGTCTCAGTGCCGCGTCCCGGTGCCCGTTGCCATGTCCCGGTGCCTGTCCCCGTGTCCCCTCGTCAGTGCCCACGCTGGGCACCTCGTGGCGCCCGCCTCCCCCCTTCAAGCAGGGCCCCCCGGGAAGGGGAACCAGGAGCCCRTCCCCGTCCCTGTGCACGTGAACTGGAGCCCCCGATTTAGAAACGTCCCATGCCGTGCCAAGGGCTGAGAATAGCTCTCAGCGTCCCAGCACACCTCCCGGGGCCAGGGGCACCCCGCGGGGYTCGGGGCCCCCAGCCACCCCAAAAAAATGAGACGGCACACTCAGCACACACCAGGTGCCCAAGGGTCCCCGTTGGGTGACCTTTGTGGCCTGGAGAAGCTGTGACCTAGGGCTGAGCCACATCCTGTGTGCTGGCACAGGGGACATTGTGCTGGGGACACGGGAGCGTGGCTCTTCCTCTGCCGGGCAACTCCGGTGGGATGGGAAACTGAGGTGGGATGGGGAAACAGGCACAGCTCAATGCTCGGACACTGCGGGAAGGAGCGGCCGGTGTGGCCTTGGTTGGGTGTAATGTTATTGGGAGTCCTGTGGGGTTTGTGGGGGCTGCTGCACCGGGTGTGGGTCAGGTGYAGGTCCCCGCCGTGGCAATGCAGGACCCGTCAGACACAGGACCCGTCACAGGCTTGAGGCCACAACCTGAGTGCCCACTCAGTGTCGGGGCAGGTCACCGGCCCTGCAGCCACCAGCCGTCGTATGAATGGTGGCTTTCCTGAGCCACGAGCTGCAGAGGGGACACAAGCCCAGGCTCAGCCATCCTRTGCCACAGCACAGCCCAGACCCCACATGAATGGGGCGGGGGCACCATGCAGGGCTCCCCTGGCACTGGGTGGGCTGCCCTGATGTCAGGCCCGTGGCATCCCCTTTGCTCGGGCTGCCCAGCTGCTGCGCATGCCTGGGATTCCTGCAGCCTCCCGACACGGCACGGCACRGCACGGCACGGCACGGCACGCTGTCCCCACTGCCACACGTGCCCATGGCACCGGGCACCGCGTGGCGCCGGGCACAGTGCACCGGGCACTGGCACAGGTGCGATGAGCGCACGGCACCGGACGCAGACACGCGTGTGGSCACTTGGCACGGCCTCGCACACGGGCATCGGCGCGTGCCGGGCGCTGCCAGCCGTGCCACCGCAGGTGCCCTGTGCCTGGCCACGCTCCCACGGCACGGTCCTGCCAGCCGGTGCGGCCAGGGTTCCTCTGGCAGGGCCAGATCTGTGCCTCCACGGTGCCCACCGTGATGCTGCCCCAGTGCTCGCTGTGACACTGCCCCAGTGCCCACCAAGACGCTGTCCTGATGTCCACCGTGATGCCGCAGCGCTTGCGGTGACACTGCCCCGGTGCCCGCATGGCCGGGCATCGCTGGCCGGTGGCCGCGGGTCTGCCCTGCCCCCAGCCCGTGCTAATCACACTAATTGGCACCGTGGCTAAAGCGCTTAGGCCCTCACCTCCCTGACCCGGCTGGCAGCTGGGCGAGGGGGGGTGCTGGGACCCCCGGAGCCCATCTGTGCTGGGGGGCAGGGACGCCACAGTGGCCCCATGGGGCGGCCCCGCTAYGCAGCACCCACGTCCGGCTGCACGGAGGCGGTCAGCGCCTTCGGGGAGGGGCGTCCTACGGGCCGGGGTCCCCGTTCTGGGGGTCCCATGGGGTGGGGTCTSCAGGGAGCGGGGTGCTGGGTGCCCCCGCTGGGGCGAGGTGGCTCCCGCCGTCGGCCCAGCCCCGGACTTTGCCCCCGGGTTGTTTTCAGCCGCCTGCAACCACCCGACTCAGCAGAAACGCTCCCCTGGGCGTGGGGCTGGGCTGGGGGGGCGCCGGGGGGGCTCCCGCCGGCTGCCACCCCGCTCCCACCCWGCACCCACCCTGCACCTGGTGCTGCAGGTGGGACGCGCAGGTTTGGGTGCCGGCGGCGCGGGGTGGGCTGAGACCTGACTGCGCTCATCACACGTGTCCCGCTGGAGGAGGAGGAGGAGGAAGAGGAGGAGGAGGAGGAGAAGAGCCGCCTCCCGTGTCTGTCTGTCTGTCTGGGCCGCCCCAGCGCGCCCGGGATTCCTCGAGTGACGGTTCCTGGAGCGGCACCGCGGGCTCCGCCGGGTGATCCAGGGGGTGCCGGTGATCCTGGGGGTGTCAGGGGGCTGCTGGGGTCTCGCTGGGGTGGCGAACCCCGACTTAACGCCGCTGCCCCCTGGCTTTAGCCCCGAGCCTCTCCCRTTTGGGGCTACACCCACCAGGCCGCCTCAGCGGGGAAACTGAGGCAGGGGCGGCCGGGCTCACCCACCGCACACCGGCTTTGGGGAGACACCCCGTGTCCCACCGCACCCGGCTTTGGGGACACCCCATATCCCATCCCACAGTGGTTGCACCCCGAGCCCCACACATGCACCG